TCTCCTCCGATTTCCAGCGTGCGCCTTGATATTGTCATACAAACTTATAGTTTAAATATGAAACATATATTTCGACTCCTACGCCACCTATCGGGAATTTTTGTTTGTCCTTAAAAAAGAAATCCTGACGTCAGGGGAAGGGGAAGGGCGGTGGGGGATGATCGCACAAATTGTCGGATGGTCCTAGTATAGGCTACTAGAAAAAGTCGTATTTATTACGCGATTTCGTTCAAATTCGCTACCGTGAGCTACCTGTTAGATGAAAAATTCGTTTCTTAAAAATTTACCACCTGGAGTTTAGGTATTTAGAAAATTTGTATTTTTTATAAAATCTGATTGAAAATCACAATGCGTATTCATTTCATGACAATCAATGGGTTTGCAGAAAAGGGACCCAATGGATGGCGCTGCAGCCGAATTATATAAAAACCCACACGGGGTTTGGTCTGCTTTGGCCCTATATTTTTCTTAGACGAATTAACTTTTCAGATGGCTAAATCAAGGATGCATGATGCAAGTATGCATATAAAGGCAGCAACATTGTGTAAGCGCACCTTTGTCTGACGCACTCATACACCCTAAATGCGATCATGCATCTACCTCCGATTGACGAAATTGCTCGGGGCGGCCGTTATTGCAGGAGCAAGACTCAAAGAAACCAGTTCATAAATACTAAGACGAATTGTAAAAGTGGCAAATTGACAAGGAAAGATTCGACCACATCCGTCCAAGAATGAACACGGTAGGTTTATCAATAGCATCATTTAAATGATATTCAAGAGATCACACGACTCCTTTAGCCTATCCTCCTATAATTGAAAATGCTCATCTGGGCTCTTGAGTTTCCTTATAAGGACTTTTATTGACTTACATGGTACATCGGACCAATGCTGAAGAATATTACGCACGCTTGGCAGAGATCTCACAGGTGGAAATAAGACCATAGGTAAAACGCATTACATCGAAAGGGATTAGTATTCCATATGGTATCACAGCGCTCCTATTCTTGGCCTATGTGTGAGGAGAATTCTGTTCTTTAGTCGTTTGAATTTATACTGAAAATGTTTACCGCTTTGATTTTACACGGTATTTTTGTATTGGCCAACGCAAAAGATCTGATCAGGCGCCGCGAAGCAAGCGGGCATTGGCTAGTGTACATATAAAAATATGTATGTATGTATGTACATATGTACACTGCCGGAAGAAAGTATTGGCACATTAGTCAAAAATCGCGTTGATTGTTTTAGATATTTTTTTTTACGGTGTGTTGCATTTTTTCCATATAAAGTATTTTGGAAAAATATATTTTGTATGGAAGAGACTGCGTGAAAAAAATTGCCAAAAATCCACAGTTATTCCTAGCTACTTAAAACTTGCACCTTATATAAATAAAATTGATTGGGCTATAAATCTGCATACTGAAAAAAATTCTACAAAATCTAATTAAAAAGTTGAAAACTTTCATGAAAATTTGCTGAATTTTCGCGAGTTTTGCACAAAGTTTAGGAATTATATTGTTATGTCTTTTATTGTAGAATGAACTATAATTTTATACGAACTTAGCGGAAAAATATTAGAATGAAAATTGTTGCATAAATTGTGAAAAACTTGCTGTGCCAATACTTTGTTCCGGCAGTGTATATTATTTCTGTGAAGTTTTCTTAATCTCCGTAATAAAAATCAATCATATTTTGTTCTGTGATTGCAATGCCTGTGCTCTGTTTTCAGAAGACACAGAGTAGATATTTTTTTTTTATTGGGCATGTGTGAATCGGTAACAAATTTATATGGGGAAAGCTGTGGAATAATATTTTTACTACGGTGAGACAGTTTTGCCAATCTGCTTTGTGAAATTAAATATTTTTTGACAGCAATACATTTTTGATAACCGCAGATTTATGCGGAATAAAATATTACAAATTGAAGTGAAATTAATATTTTAAGGACACATCTACCATCGTTGATTGAAACTCATCAATTTAACTTAGCTTAACTTAAATTTACTTAACGGAAAATTACACACATCAACAATCATTGCGATTGTCAAAATTTTCTATGCATTTGTCAAGGCGAATTAATATAAGGTGATAGCAGGAGTACAAAAACCAAAATTTACATGTATTTTGTTTTTGCTTTGGCAGCATAAACTGTCAAGGCAGAAGAGACATTCCTCTTCCTCTGTTTCCAGCATCACGATCCGCGTAGAATACTTTCAAAGCTGGAGTGTTTCTGTCCGTTCGCACGACATAACCAAGCCAGCATAGCCGCCGTATTCTAATTCGATAATGGAAAAATGGCGAATTTTTGAAATCGATCTCTGTGGTCCTAAAATTCAGATAAAATCGACTTTTTCTAGAAAAAAAAATCATCTTTATTTGCAAAAAAGCAACACTGCAAATTTTTTCTTTCTGACTAATTTGGCAGCACTCCGTGTGTGGCACCATATTTGCCTTAGGGATGTTTTTTCGATCTGATATAAAAACCGATATTTTCGAAGCATCGAATGAATTAAAATGAAATAAATAAAATAAAAAAAAATAAACTTGTTTATATACCACGCCTTTATAAATGGACTAAAAAGTATAAAATAATATTTCTCAGTCCCATAGAATTTGGTTTGATAACTTTTGATTTTGATTGAAATTTTAGTAAAAGACATTATCAGGCAAAGGATTTTATGGAAATCGCCTTTCTTTCTGCTAAAGAGACAGAGTATATTCGATTAAGAATGTCCATGACTGATTCCACATACGTATACACATTCCATGTTGCTTTTGTTTTTGCCTTTTTTAAGACGATTGCCTTTCTACCTTTAATTGTAAAGGGCAAGGAAAAAGCCCTTATTCCTGATAATATGAAAGTTTTAAACGTTCCATAATTAAATTGGACGCCGCTTGTATCAACTCACGTCGAGCGCACGTTTAGTATTTTCAAGGCATTTCTTCGCGAAAATCGAATGAAAATGCTGCCAGAAAACTTCAAAATGCATCTTGTGGTTCAATGTTACTACAACTATGTATACAGATTAAAGTTTTATGAGTTAGAAACTCGAAAGGATAAAACAGTCAAAGATTCAAAGAACAAATTTTTGATACATATAATGTAACTACCCTGCAAACCATTTTATCAGAGTATTCTGAATCGTAAAGAAATTTTAAAGAATTCGGAAAGATCCCATCCGACTTTTTGCCGAATTTTCTAAAATGAAATAAATTACGCACACTTCCATTCTTTTCCGAAATTTCGGAAGAAAATCGGTAAAGAAATGAAAATAATGCTGCTATGTGAAGAATTTCTTGCAGACTTTTTTCAAAATTTTCTTTATTTTTCGTACAGAAATTTCTTTACGAGTTCGTGTCAACCACTTCATATAATTTTCTTTGAAGATTCGGAAAAAATCGTTACAGAAATCAGATACTCCTAAAGATTTCGTTAAGATTTCGGGAACTTTGGTTTGCAGGGTAGTTCATAGCTTTTCTCTTTTTACTTGTTAGATAAACATTTCTAAAATAAATGTATTTTTTGATTATTTTTCGATATTTATCTTTTTTAGTGCCTTATTTTCCTGCCTATTTCGTTATTTTATTTTGCCTTTTTTATTGGTTTTTAGGACCCAAAAATCCGTTCCCTGATGATTATTATAACTATTGTCAGCTCCTATTATAGACCCAATCAAAGATTCCCAAATTAAAGCGAAAGCAGAAGGGCATTTACGATCACATTATGCAAATATTGAGATAATAAGAGCTGCAGAAGTGAATCACACAGGAACAACTTTTTACAAGGGCGTGTAATTTCTGACATGACATTGACATCATCGGTGACAAAAATTGCGAAGTCTGTTCGATGAGGCGGCCCTTCGAGTACTCGAGAGAAAGATCTTACGGAAGATTTACGCGTTGGCGACGGGGAGTACCGTAGACGATCGAACGATGAGTTGTATGAGATTTACAACGAAATGTATGTACTTAGTTCTGCGAATGAAAATACAGCGGCTCCGATGGCTTGGCGATGTCGCTCGAATAGGAACTCGGCCAAAATCGCTTATGTGGTTACAGCGCCAAATAAGAAGATGCAAATAATAAATTACAGAGTTGGGGGATTTTCTTCTTGGATGCGCCAACGGTTCGATCAAAAAATTACATAACCAGGTGGAAACATTGCTAATTCAGCTCTTAAGCTGCAATTGAACATATATATAAATCATCGAAACTCCCACATGCAATATTTCCAGAACATCCGGTATAGAAAAAGTATTACAAAAATTTAAACGCATTGTTTGGGATGTGTGCACCATGGCACATAAAACCGCTTGAGGTTCTTGATCGATTTGCTTGGAAATGTTCAACCATTCGGGAATGCATTGATATTGCTCGCAGGAGGTTTTACCTAAACAGTGTCTGTAGTTTCTCGATTTACACTAGCGGGCAAGATAAATGCTTGCCTGAAATAGTCAACAGTGTGGCAAGAGGAACATATGTACATACACTGCAGCCGAGGTATTCTCGCGACAACAACTGGACATTGGAAACGGAGAGAAATTAAGGCGAATTTTATTGCCTGCTAATTTTCGTAACTTAGAAACATCGAAAGGAGAACTGATCGAAAGAATGTTTCTTAATTAAGAGAATTAATTATAGGAATTACGATTGGCTCAGTGAACGAGCTATTTTTGACCGATACACCATTTCAATTTAAAAAATTGCAATTTCCAATTCGATTCTCATTCGGAATCACAATCCATAATGCTCAAGGCCAACCTTTGGAAAAGGGTGGTTTAGATTTAGATGCGAATTGCTTCTCAGATGTTGCGTGTTCCCGTGTCGGCAAACCAGATATCCTTGATATATATGCAGAGAATAGGAAAACGACAAATATTTTGTGCACACAAGTACTTATTACAAAATCAAACTCATACGAAACGTATGCTTTGTCTCGTTAATAATTTATCATTCATGTAACAGGAATATGCCACAGCAAAGCATGGCAGGGTACAGCTAGTACTCAATAAAATTTAACGCCAGCGAAAACATTTAATATGAAATACTTTTTTTATTGTCATTACATACATATGTACATATAGAGGTATTTAGTATATTAAGTATGATCTGCATACAATAATTTTTGGAAAAAAAGACATTGCCTTCAGCTGTTCTTCGGTCTGATAGCCATATGCACGTACTTCAACGAATATTCGTGACCATGCCAGGTGTACCAATCGATCCCCTCGGCCTCTTCAAAGTAAGAGTATTCACCGAATAAATATCGTCCATTCAGATTACTGGTGAAAAAGGAAATTTATAACTTATATGTAGTGCAGATACATATATACATATGTACATAGTTAGAAGTATATTTCTCACACACTCACCTATCGTGACAACGATTGTACCACCAAGCGCCCTTAAAGGTGACAGCACAATTATACGATGTATGCTTATCATTATCACGATCTTTAGTAGTAAATTTCTGCCCCTTTTGCGTGATCATTGAATCGCCCGCATCGCCCGAAAATCCTTCCAATACATTCAAAGCATAGTTTTCGCTCTCATCGCCTAT